CACAAATGGAAAACATTAGTAAATTTCAAAGAAAATAAACAAGAAAAGAGACTACAGCAGTGGTTGGAGGAGAAAGAATATAAACAAGAAGAGAGACTACGGCAGTGGTTGGAGGAGAAAGAAAATGAACAAGAAGAGAGACTACAGCAGTGGATGGAGGAGAAAGAAAATAAACAAGAAGAAAGTCTCCAACAATTGAGAGAAAGCCAGAGTACACAAATGGAAAACATTAGTAAATTTCAAAGCAAATTAAATACATTAAAGAATGATTTACTGTCTTTTACACAAGGAGGATATATTAGCCATCAACCTAATCAGCCTCAGACAACGGGAAGCCCCTTCCATACTCCGAAGCTAAACCCTAATGTAGACATCTTCAGTCCTGTTAGAAGTCACATCCCAGATATGAATGTCAGCAATAGGGGTGATCTAGTATGAAGGAAGCCACAGGAATTCGATGGGAAGGCACCGTGGGAAGCATATAGAGCACAATTTTAGCTCCTGGCAGAAATGAATGGATGGATAGAGGAGCAGTGTATCTGGCAACAAGCCTAAAGGGGCAACTACTGGAAATACTTGGACAGTTGTCAGCAGACGACAGGCACAACTATAGAGCACTGGTAGTGGCTCTAGAACTCGGGTACAGAATTCAAAATCAGTCTGAAGTCTACAGGGCTAGGTTTAGGATGAGAGTCCATGCAAAAGGGGAGAGCCTGCAAGAGCTGGCACAGAACTTGGAAAGTATGGCACACAAGGCCTACCCAACTGCGCAACCCGATCTCCACAACTTGTTGCTGAGGGATCAGTTTGTAGATGCCTTGGACAGTCCACAACTGAAAATACTTGTAAAGCAAGCACACCCCTCTACTATGCAGGATGCAATGGCCAGAGCTCTTGAATTTGAATCCTACGTTAAGTCCAGCACAGAGATACCAAGGTCATCGGGATTCAAGGCCAGAAAAGGACAGCTTTCAGAGATATTTGAGGGGCTTTGCTGGCACTCTAATAAACCTGGGCACAAGAGAGCTCAATGCTGCC